GATACATCTATACTTTTGAAATTACATTGAGAGATATAAGACTGATAAGTAAACAAACTACATTGAATTAATCATGCAGAAAGACGACAGGTGCGAATGTTTTCCAGGTCAGGTTCAAATAGATAATTGGGGGAGAGGGAGTATGAGAGATCAAAATTAAGATAAATTGCATTACGCTCCAATTACATCATTTAGATAAACAATTACTCATTAGGGAATATAACGAGAATTGCAAACAGACTAATATCAATAGTAATAGTTATAATAACAATTTTATTAGTGTTGAAGTGAGTTAAGATAGTCTTACTGATAAAGCATAGTTTTAAATGAATCAATAATAATAATAATGATAGTAATAATAGCAATAATAGTAAGAAGAAGAGGTAGAATAATAGTAATAACAAGTAGAGAATAATAAGTAAAACGTATTACCATGGTAGATTTAGAGTCATGACCATCTCCTTTTGTATACAGAGGCCTACCATATAAATTCGAATTGTACAAGCTTCTGCAGTTGCAAGCATCTTCTTGTTTCTTTGTTTGCTGACAATGGTGAATGACTTGACCGCGTCGATATCATATCCATAGTTCACAAGATGTTTTTTTTATTGAGCATTTTGGCACTTTGCACTCAGCTGTTTTCAACCATTTTGGAAAATTCTCCATCACGTGATTTTCTACTCGCATGATGGAGCATTTTCCAAAATGGTTGAAAACAGCTGAGTGCAAAGTGCCAAAATGCTTAATAAAAAAACATCTTGTGAACTATGGATATGATATCGACGCGGTCAAGTCATTCACCATTGTCAGCAAACAAAGAAACAAGAAGATGCTTGCAACTGCAGAAGCTTGTACAATTCGAATTTATATGGTAGGCCTCTGTATAAAAAAGGAGATGGTCATGACTCTAAATCTACCATGGTAATACGTTTTACTTATTATTCTCTACTTGTTATTACTATTATTCAGCTGACGAGTTCTACCGAAATTTGATAAATTCATTAAGTCCTGCTTTATTAACCTTTATTGCTTGTTTTAAAATATTAGCATTATAATGGAAGAAGGAGTATGCAAACAAAATGGTTCATTCCAATAGGAAGACGCTAAAACAATATGCAGCAAAACAAACAGACTCTTTATCTACACACATACATACAAGAGAATGAAATGAATATATCGCTCACAGGCAATATGCTGTAGATGAACTGCCAGAAGATCTTAGAACGCCTTTTATAGAATACGTAACTCAAGTTAGTGAACGAAGAGCACAGAAGAAGAAGTAGCTGATAGAGCTTATGAAAGGACTTGAAAGGAAGCCAGAGGCTGGTAAATTTCCAGCAGATCATAAAAAGTACGTCTACAATTATAGTAGTGTTGAATTAAATAAGGTGCAGCTTGAAGTACTTTCCCTTGGCTTTCGATTTTGTGATAGACCAAAACGAGTTAATCACTTTGATACTGATATTGAATTTGACAAACTATTTAGTCAAACAAGGGATCTAGCTGCATCATCCACCTTGGACTTAGAACGCTTCAAATCCAGTCTAGTGGATTGTTGTTATCAGTAGAGAAACCTATTATGTACACGTCGCCAAATTATTGTTATGGACTGGTCGAGAATTTAATAGTCCTGACGCAAGAAAGACGGAAATCAGAAGACCACTAGGTTTGCGATGATACTTCTATTTTCCAAACACAAGGAGAATCAATATGTCACACAAGAGTGTGAGAGCAAAAATATATATGAATGTCCGAACAAGTGTGTGAACACAAGTGTGAGAGCGAATATTCAAAATGAACAAATCTATAGACAGTCTTAACATGATTGGCTAATTATAATGGAATATCGATCCATATATACATAGCAAAATATATCAGACTGTCAAACAAACACACACATTATATGGATATATATGTATATATATATATATATATATATATATATACCTCAAATACGACTGTAAACGTTTCTTGACAAAGGAGCACAGAGAAGGACTAAAATAACTGATGAATGATGAGAGGCTGATGGTCACAAAGCCGGACAGAGGAACAGGAGTAGACCTCCTTGATAGAAGTGACTGTATTAAAAGATGAATGATATATTGAAGTACACACAGGAGTTTCAAAACTTGAAGAGAACAAAGATTTCAATAACAAAACAGAGAATGAATTAAACAGACATTTGAAGAAAGTAAGGGAGGAGCAGATATTTTCTGAAAGTTTATATGAAGAAATCAGACCAACGGGCACGTATTCGCCAAGATTGTATGGCCTACCTACAGTGAATAAACCAGGGGTGCCGTTAAGACCAATACTTGATATGTAAAATTCTCCCTAGCTAGATGGTTAATAAATAAATATTCTCAAACCTTTGCATGACAAGATAGTGATATACAGCGTCAAAATGTATTTGAATTCGTAGACAAAATAAAAGATATTAATATCAAGGACAAAACCATGATATCTTTGGACATATCAGCGTTATTCACAAATGTTCCTCTAATAGAAACAGTTAATTACATAGGTGAACAAGTGGACAAGCAGTCGATAAATATCGGCATCCATACTGAAATCCTAAAAGAATTGATATTAAAATGTACCATGAATGTAAACTTTGAATTTGAAGGCAAGCTTTACAAGCAAGTAGACGGGGTGTCGATGGGCTCCCCATTGGGCCATATTCTGGCTGATTTCTTTCTAAATAAGCTAATAAGTGGACCTCTGAACAACCTTATCAGTAAGCTCTCATTTTATTGCCGAAATATGGATGATACCTTTATTCTTTGTGATAATGGTTCTGATAGGAGTACAGTAATTACTGAATTTAATGAAGTGCATTCGGCTATGAGATTCACATGTGAAGAGGAATCCCAAGACAGTATCGCCTTACTGGATGTCCCACTTACAAGAAAACCAGATGGTAGCTTAAAAAGAAATTTGCATAGAATGAGCACTTGGACAGGACAATATACACATTTATTTTTTATTTTTGATTACAGCTTGATTCCACACTGTATTTTTGGTACAAGTATGAAATTTTCAGCGTGGATATCGGTAGCCCAAAATTCGCAGGCCGACCATAGATATCAGGTGTGCATCGGCGTGGGCTCGAACCCTGGACCATGTGCATGGTCGGCAAGAGTCCTAACCACTGTGCCACCGACGCACAAAATTTCATTGGTCTCAGTTTAGAGACCGTTGCAGAAATTACACTGCAAATAACAGATACTACACATGATCTTAGCTCAGGGAGCCAAGAAGCTTCGTTCCTATCAAGTACAAAAGAAATTTAGTGAAGACCCTCAGCCACAAAGTTAGAGCTATATGCTCAGAAGAAGTAATTGAAGATGAATTAAGCATTGTATATGGCACTTTGATGGAAAATGGCTATCCCGACAAATTTATGAAGAAACACATGACAAAGAAAGCGAAAAAGGACTACTCACTATCTGTAAACAAGAAGCCACTTTATATAATTCAAGGGCGATATACCAATTGAGATAATTACGAAGAATTTAAGAAAATCAATTCAAAGAACTTGTATTGCTGGCGAACTACACGTTTTATTCTCTACACGACCGATGGTGCTACCTCGACTGAAAGATGAAGTACCTAGACTGGCTAGCCACTTCAAATTGTATTTACCAATTCAACTGCGCTTGTGGGGCGAGTTATATTGGCCCTTGCTCTGGGAACTTGATTATTCGTGCTCTAGAACATATCCCACTATGCCTAAGTAGAGGTGTAGTGAAAACCATTAACAGTTCGATATTGGACCATCTGGTGCAAACCGGCCACAAAGCCAGCGTGGAAGAATCCTTCTCTATAATCTACCGGGTGCCTAAAAAATCGCCAAAATCATCGAAGCACCGCATACTTCAAACAGCAGAGACTATTTCAATTCGCCTCAAACAACCAGTTCTCTGTGTTGAAAAGAAGCAAGTTCAGCCCCTATTACTGCCCTGGCCTACAGTAGAAACTATAATCTCATGAATTTGTAATATTATCTTTCCTAATTTTTCTGATATTCAGCTTAATTTATGTTGATGTTATTTAGCTGCAATCTATCAATATTATTGATACGATGTTATTTAAACATTAATGTTGTTCATAACACTAATTCATTCATTCACTATAATGTATGTATAACTGTAGGGCCTGATGATGAAGTTATCGAAAAGAGTACTCTATGTTCAGTATCCATTCTTTTGAAAAGAGTTAGTGTCAATATTGTTGAACATTGAATCATTTGTTTATTCGAACTAATCTTCATTTGGCGGGAGAAAATAATAATAATTTGCTTTATTCCAAAACAGTACTTGTGATACACAATCGAATTCTCAGCACTTCACTACAGTATTGCATCTAGTTAGTACATTAACAATAAACAAAATTCTACATAGATTAAGGATAATCTCAGTTAGTTTTGACAACAACATATTGGCATGTCGGTAGCAGAGCAAAAATTGAACAGTGTTTGAAGGCGTTAGAAAAGTAGATACTAGCATATTTACTGGCGTAAGCGGTAACAAAAAGACCGAGACATACAGAGTGTGAAAGAAAGAAGAAGAATGTTTTAAATAGAGTCTGTAAGGAAGAAAGAAGAAAAGCAGCACATAAGAGAAAAGGAGAGAAAGAGAAAAGGAAAAGAAAGAATGAAAACGTTGTACCTATAAATGATATGAGTTGGAAAGATGGGATCCAGTTGTTCTACTGACTATTTAATAAGTTTAAGGTCTAATGCTTTCTTTATCGCACAGAACATGAGCCAACCAAGTAGGGTATGGTTGAATTTTTGTACTTTCTAGTTCGAGCATATAGTTTTCTATATAGGCTTCTGGTCTGCCTGCCTGGTGAGATAGATACAAGGGGAGGGTTGTGA